ACCAATGGTGAGGGTAAGGATTAGAAGGCTTGTTCGCTCGGGCGTGGCACTCAGATCGAGCCGATTGACTTAGGGTAGTATAATTTTCTCTGTCTGGATTTGCAGGAGGGTTGTCTCCTTTCTACCCCAGTATTCCCTGAAGAGGGCCGAAAATGTCGAAGAAGACGGGGTGAGCTATGGGATGGTATAAAAGCTCCAGGAAATTAAGGTGCCGTGCGTTAATTTCGTTAAGCTTCTAAACGTTGACTGCCTATATAGAGCTCGCAGATGTAGACAAATGCCTTCGATCCTTTATTTACGATCCATTTGATGATCTGAAATATCAACATTTATTAGCGTGTAATTCATCTTTGGACGAAAAGTCAGTCATTCAAGAAAGAAGACATACTGTTAAACTATTGGTCCTATTTGAAGACATGTTTAAACTATGGCAGGGTTGCAGTGCATTTTCTAATTTAATTCAAAAACTAGTAATACAGAATATAATATGCAGTATACTGTTTAAAGCAACCAAACGAACTGTCACAGGATATAAGCGTCCTTTAACCTAGTGAATTCCATTCTCGGTTTTCTTGTGGCGTGTTTTTTCATGAGTTTAAAACTGGGTGCGTGCTAACAACCATGGCGCTCAAGAAATTTTCAATTGATGCCGCAGAGCCAATCAACTCAGGCAAACAAGATGCCCACAACGAGAAGAGTGGTTGTCTACACGCATGCTCACAGGCGTTAAGGTTGTCATAGTAGCATGGGAGGCTTTAAACTAAATACAACCCGCCCGAATCTCATTCCAAATACATATAAAACCACCCTGCCTACCTCTGTCTCGGTAAACTTTATTAATAGGACCATCATCCTGAGAAGGGATTCATTAGTCAATCAACACTCAAAACTATAGTATTTACCCAATGCTTACAGAACAGCGCCGACATTGCCACGGAACTCTCCAAATTCACTTCACTGCGCTTGTCCGAACCAATCTATGCATGCATACATAACCGTGGTCACTCAGCGAACAATCAAAAGGGATATTGGTACCGTCTACTTAAAGTATGCGTGCTCAAGTTATTCCGTGACTGATGCTAGCACTGAACGGATCGGAGTTAATGCCTTCCAGGTCTCATCGAAATACTATCGCTTCTTACTTGGTGTAGTAGACCCTGATCCCTTTTGCGCCATCAATCTCAGGCAATGAGTTACATTACCATGCCACAGCTCACATCGGTGACAGTAACGTCGCCTGTCTTTGCCGCCAAGTGATGCCCTCCCCGCTATGCCAATAGTCTATATAATTCATTAACAAACCCAACTGCAATTATTGCACGATGCACATGCAATCTCGCGCAGCCACTCGTGCGTTGCAGACTCGCTCTTGTGGACGACGCGGGAAGGTATGCGCCGAGGCGCGCCACGTTGTTGCTTCCATCGCGTTCGCCTATAGATACAGCTGCCACGCCCGCAGCTGCTGTAGGCGCGTACACACCGCGATCCCGTGCTACGACATTATCCGGGACCCACAGTATAAGCTCGTGGACGCCTCCGTAACCGACTCGTGGTTTGCCTGGCTCGAAGATTGCTGTATTGCACCCTACCAATAGGGTGAAATTATAATATTATGTATACTTGTTTAAATTATACAATTATTAACATACTACAAATACACGTATATGATACATACAATTATAGTGTACCTTTGTCAATTAAGGTCTGCTTACTCGCCTATACTACACAATTCGCTAGCTAGCATATTTGCATATATTGCGTAAACGATTTCTCGTTTCTTTTGCAGAACTGTTGTATCTTTTATTACCTCAGGCATAGTGGAAAAACTATTATATAATTATATGTCACACATCTAATTTAATAACTTTGATAATGCAAATTGAAAAGAATGATCATCTTTATTTCCTCTCTCTTCTATTATATATAATATGTATTAACTGTAGAATCTCTAATAGTCGATGATTCAGAGATATGTGATACGACGATAGAGTGCTCTAGGCTATAAGCGTCATGTCTTGGTGTTTGCATGTGTTGTTGTGTGGTGTTGTGTGTGTTAGTTGTTAGTTGTACGTGTTGTTAGAATGTAGTTGTGTGTATTTACCAGTTATATGCATTTTGATTTACTAGTGTACAAATGCACATACATAGAATTGCACATCCACGCTAATAATCTGTTTGTAGCACCCATATATATCGTTTATTACACATTACGTAAGGATCATCTCGTAACTGTATGCATATATATATATAATATTTAATATATATAAATATAATATATATATATTAATATATATTATATATAAATATTATAAATGTGTATATATGTATGTATTAGTAAGTGTATATATTATAATATGATATCATACATTCCCTTAGTCTATCCTAATCTTAATCCTATTATACTATTATTATGTTATAATATATTATATATTATTACGTATATATATTATTATATTTTAATATTATATATAATTATATTTAATTATGTTATGTTTTAATAGATAATATATATTAGTATATAATATGTATAATATATTATAATATATATTAATATATATTATGTTTTTTTTGTAAATTTTATAAAAAATTTAATTTATTTTTATATATATTTATTATAATATTATTATTAATGTATGTATACTAAATATTAATTATACTATTAATTGATTAAGCTATATAACTATTATATTTGTATAGTGTGTTTATCTGCTATGATGTTGTTGTGTTGATATGTATGTATGTATTGATAGTGTATCGTACGTGTATGTGTGTGTTCGATGTAGTGTATGTGTCTAATGTTAATAAAGCTTTTAAATGTTATTTTTACAGTATATTATCAACTCGGTGTAATATATATACGCCTATTTATCGTATATATTATTATATATTTTGTTGTGTATAATTAGTATATATACTGTTATGTACCTTGTTGCTGCTCTGTGTGTGATGCTGAGATAGTAATATATAACGGTGTTGTGTGTGTGTTTGTGTTTTATGCTGTTGTGTGGTTGTGTGACCTGTAATGTCTATTATTTTTTTTATATTTTTTTTTTATGTTATTTATTTGTTTATTTTTTTTTATTTATTCTTTAATTTATATTTTTTTTTTGTTTTATTCTTTTATTTAAATATGTCTTTTTATAATATTATATTTATTTTTTGCTTGTGTTTATTGTTGTATGATGTGATGCTGATATGTGTGTAGTATTTCTTGGTGTATGTGTGTGGTGTTGTAAGCATTATCGACTGTATGTATGATATATTTATATATAGGTTAAGTTCTAATTGTATATAATTTATAATACATAATATTATTTATTAATAATATTCTATTATATAATATATATATATAATATTTCTACTATATAATAAATATGTTGTGACTATTATATGTTATATATAATATATAA